ATTCGCGTTGAAAATGCTAGCACGCAGATAAGTTAGGTATTAATTTTTTTATTTTCTTGATTATTGATTGATTACACAGTTCGAAAAATTTTAACTATTTTTGCCACCTGAGTGCATCGGTTTTTGTAGATTCTTCGGTGCTGAATACAAATCTAGCTGCAGAATTTCTATCCCACGTTTTGAGATATCCTAGCCGCTAAGTGTAAAAACACGGTTTTTCGCAATATTTGAGGTTATATTATAAAACAACAAATTTTTTCGCTCATTTCTACTTAGGGTATCATTAAGTATTACTCTTTCCGTTTAAAATTCAGTTTCGTTTGTTGCGATTCGATTGTTCCGTCTCCAGGTATATCAGTTTTAATGTGCAGTACTTCGGTATTACTTCGCAAGCATGAATGTGTATTTATTTATACATGTAAATATGGTTTATTTATTTATTTTTGTTTACTACAAACTGTTATGAAAAAGAGTATCCTTTGATTAAAAAAAAAAATTTAGTGCTTTTAGTGCGGTAAAACGCTCTTTTTTCCAAGATTTGGTGCTTTTTGAAACTGAAAAGTTGGCAACACTGCGTATCAGATACCAAGCTGAGCTGAAACACAAACATAGAGAGGCGGGTTGAGAGAGCCTACACAGCTTATTATACTTGTAAAAGAATATTCAGTATCAACTGGGGATTGAAGCCAAAGCTTGTCCTCTGGATGTACACGGCTATCATACGACCAATACTAACGTATGCGGCGTTAGTTTGGTGGCCGGCACTAGATAAACAATACAACGTCTGGAAATTAGGCAGTATACAAAGAGTAATCCTGCATCAACTACCCATAGAACTCCATATCCGTGAAAATGCTGTGTCTGCGATAGTCAGACTCAAAGAGTCTGGCTGCTGGAGGGCGTTGCAGCACGGCCATAGTGGTATTCTTGACAAGCTTATCGAATCAGGGAAACAATCAGATTATATACCTCCTATGACAGATTTCAGGAAAAGCTTTCACGTGAAGTTTCCTTCAAGACGGGATTGGGGTAGGGGCAGGATAGTCGAGGAGAATTCCACTGAAATCTATACTGACGGGTCCAAAATAGACTGCGGTGTGGGGGTGTTCTCTGAAACGCTGAATGTCTCTCTCGCTTCGACTACTTAACTTTGCTAGCATCTTCCAAGCGGAAGTACTGGGCATCGAAAGGGCCTGTAAATCACTAGAGAGGAACTGCGTAGGTGTATAAAAAGCATACAGTTTTTCAGATAGCCAAGCGGCATTTCTGGCACTTGCCTCACCGGTAACAAAATCCAAAACAGCCAGACATTGGAAATATGCGTTAAGCTCGGCGGCCGAGTTAATAGACATCACTCTCATCTGGGTTCCCGGCCATAGGAACATCCACGGAAATGAGAGAGCTGGCGAGTTGGCTAAGGCCGAAGCATCTTTGGATGAATCCCGAAGCAGAAACTATAAATAGTCCACTCGGACTCATCAAAAGGAAACTGCATCTGCGATTCACACGTATGGCTGATACACGTTGGAACAACCTTCAACAGGAACATATGGCCGCACTATGACAAGCCAAAGACAGAAGAACTTCTCAAAAGGGCGAGGAAAGATATAATCAAATTAATAGCCACGATAACGTGACATTGGCCCATTGGTGAACATGCAGATAAAATGGGCCTTCCGTATAACCCTCGGTGCCGTAACTGTAATCTTGTGGGAAGTAAAGAAACGGTCCATCACTATCTTTGCGAGTACCCAGCATTGGCACAAATAAGGCAGAACACGCCTGGGAGTTTTTCCATCCAAAATATTTCCAAATTTAACATTATTAACCTAAACAGATTCATCGGATAATCCAAATGGTTTGACGAACCCAACGAATCATGAAAGCAGATAAAATCAGGGGTCTCAGAGAAAGCTTATCAAAATGGTGCTTTCAGCACTAATTGGGTCCTGGGAATGTACCCAGGCGACGCTGCTACCACCCAACCAACCAAGTATAAAAATATGCATATCAGCAGAAGAGGGGTTTAGTCACATTTACCAATACCAATTACGGTACCAATGTTTTTAAAATCAGTTAAAAATTGTTTTTAAATGTAAGGGTTTTATCAATTTTATTGTGGCTTCTTAACATTTTAATTTTTCGAAGATAAGACTTTTGACCCCTTATAGCACTTGAAATATAAATGTGTGCAAAAAGCTATATACCGTTTAAATAAGAGCAAAGACGGACCACGCCTATATTTTTACTTTTTTAGTTGTTTACATACAATAATTAAAAAATAATTTATTACCAAAGGTCAAATTTCGCACTTGGACGAAAAACGAAGAAATTGCATTTTTAATTATGACTCGGTTTTTAAAAAAAGTGGGTTTGGTCCAATACCCAGGCAATATGTAAAGATGAAAATGTTTATCTTTGAGATTTTTTCCCATTCGAAAAATAAGCAAGACAATTCTGCCTCCACGAAATCGTTTTCATTAACATTTACTATTTTTGGAACCTATGTCAAGCTTTTATAATAATAAAAATTTTCTGCTCCTGAAACATTTTTCTTGCACTCAGCCAATTAATTTTGTGGCCAGTGATGTCTTCTTTTCGGTTAAAGGCAAGCTTTTCGAAACCCTTGGTACAGATGCTATATACTAGGACAGTTTTCAACATATCCTTTTTTAAAGGTGATGACACTATAAAAAAAAGAATATGTCCAAAAAAATTTCCAGGTCAAAATTTCTGTTGGTTGCGTCTATATGGCCTTTTCTAAGTGGCATCATTTAACTCATTAATAACTAATTATTATCTCTGAGCGAAAAAATTAAAACCATAAAATAATAGTTATTTGTGATCGAAAAAATAAACACCAAATAAATGATGAACAAAAAATTTCCATCGATAACTTAAAATTGTGACACACAATGGCTAGAGGCGTCGCCTGAGTGCATTCTTTCGTTTCTATTCGTTTATTCCATGGGGTATTCATGCTTTTATTTAAATTTAAAAAATTAAATTACTATACCGTTTTAAAAATCTGAAAATTCACTGCGGGAAATTTTTTATTCTTTTTTGTGCCTTTATAAGTTTTGAAAAAAGGTTTTGAACGAACCATTATATCACATTCCTATGCAAGTTTTGAAAGAATATTTTCGATACTAAATTTTATTAAAACAAAATGTTGAAATCAGCTTCATATAGAAACAGTGTCATCGTTAATTAAGAAAGAGATGTTCTTAAATATCATAACTTTACGACACTCACATATTGACTCGATTTGACTATTTATTTTATTAAATTTTAATTTGAATTATTTATTTATAAATATATAGTTTATTCCTTAACAAACACTAAATGAAAATAAGTTTAATCTTTGAACAGCATTACAAAAAATCGACAAACTTTTGTAAAAATTTCGAACTTTCTATTTCAATTTTATCTCTTAATATTTTTCAGTTTTTTAGCTCATTCAATTTTAGTCTAATAAAGTGAAAATTTAAAGTACCTGTGATTTACAGTTGATGTATGGCATATTTTTGACGATGTCGGTAATTTTCTTCCATATTATCTAAGTATGTTCGTCGATTTTTTTAATGAAGAAAATTAGCAACACCTTCATCAAAAAAAAAAAAATATATTAAAAATCAACGATAAGTCGCTATGTATTTTAAACTTGCGCTTTATTTAAATTGATCGGGCTACAAAACTGCATACTCAAAATATATATCATCTAATCAAATCAAATTAAAAAGCTTTACGAAAGTTTGTTGATTTTGTTAATGTTGCGCAAAGATTACACCTTGGATTTATGCGTGTTTTGTTAAACTGCATAAATGGCCAATCTAGTTAACATGTATAAAGTTTTGATAAGCACTTGAAATGTCAAGTTTTAGTACTGAATTTAAAGAAGATGTCTCTTTTATCCATTCATAATAACTTTACAAATTTTTTTTTGTTAAGAAGTGTATCTTAAAATATCTGCCGTGAATACCATCAAAGCATTGGTCTTGAAGGGAATCTATGAATGCATGCATGCATATGAGCAAATTAAAAAGTCGATACAATTTGCAGTGGAAAAGTACAGTTTTTGTATAGATTATAGATTATTTCCCAACACTGTGGGGAACTAAGCAAAATGGCCTAGTGTATTTCGCAAATATTCAAATACATAGTCCACCAACCGATAATTGTATATATTCTTTAAAAGATATCAGTCCGAAATAAAAAAATTATAAATCGGAAGGGTAAAATTAGTATTCAGTTATTAATTCAAAAATAAAAAGTTTAATTTCACTGACGAAGGGGGCCGGGATTTATCCCCCCAAATCCCCCCTGGTTATGCCACTGCAGAATATTCCTCTACTTCAAAATGTTTTTCAATTCTATCTATCTCGTCGTAGTCGAAGTCGGTTGGTAGAGCGTCTGTCGTTTTAAAAAATTTAGTATCCATTTTTGGAATAAAAAAAGTATTACACTGCAAAAAAGTATAGATACGAGCGTTAGGTATAGTCTTTATTCTGGGTAAGCAGTTGCAGTTACATGGATATACTTACTACATATGCACATAGTCCCGACTCTTGTACACTCGTTCGCACACATGGGGGACATTAGCGACCCATGTGCGAAGTGCGATGACTTTTTCGGATTAAGGGCTCTCTTAAGTCAGCAGCGTCCGTTAACCCCCTCTAATATTGACGACTTTCGCTTACGAAATAAATACCACGATCTATGATACACATATGTACATACGAGGCGGATCTAATCAAAATATGATATATTCCCAATACATTATTTTACAGGAAGAGCAAAAAACGGAAATTCACAAACCCTAAATTTATGGAAATATGATTTTCTCGGATTGCAAAGATAAAAGATATTTTGAACTGAAATAACCAATTTTCCTGATATATCATCTTGATGAGAATAAAAATAAATAAAAAATTTGTCGGAAGTGAAAAATCAACTTTTGATTAGACAGCTCCATTATGCTCATACAAATCGCCATTTACCTGTACGCTGGTATTGTCTTCCACTTTGCAAGGCATTTCAAAAATTGTTCCAGTGACAACATCCAAATCAAAAGGTTCTATGCTTAGTCGTGGTATTGGTCTCTTATCATCAATTGTAACGTTTGCTTGTACTGCTGTGTTGCCATTTATATTTTGAGCTATACACGTATAAATACCTGTTTGAAAAAAGTTGAAACAATTTTTATTTCAAGTGTATGAAACGATTTTTTTTTTCACTAAAACTTGTAAATAAATACTAAATAAAAGTGTTTGGATTATACGCTAAAGCCAATTTAAAAGAGAATCGTATGTATGTCAAATGTATGCCATTTCATTGTGGAGCGATTTTCCGTCATCTCTTTTCAAATTCGATTTGGAGAAAAGCCAGTTTCGGCGTGGTGCACCTTCAGTGTCGTTTTGCGTTCAGAATAGTTTTTGCTTGTGAGTCACTATTTATAGCAGGGACCGAACATAAATAGTTATTGCTGGTCTTGCGTAAAGTGCAGGTCAACCGAAGTTGATCTTTTCAAGCTATTTAGGCATACCAGAAATGGTTTTACAGAAATAGGAAGAGAATTGTCGGTACTGACAGAAAAATTTAAGCATTATGAAAATATGTTTAAATCATTCAAATGCTTAGATATCTTGCAATCTGTTAAGGATATCCGTGTGTCTAAACGTAAGCGTCTTCATAGTCCATCTAAGGAAATTGTTGCCGTTGCACGTCAGAATAATCTTCCGACGGACTTAATTAATTTAAAATTAATTTATCTTCTCCGTGTCCTCCAGCATCAGAATCCTCAGCCTCAAAAGACCGTGTAACGATATCTGCTTCGGATAATAAGGAGCTTGAAGTATCTTCCCCTTCCTCCATTGAAGTGGTGGCATCATCTTCAAAGCCTCCACCGCCTTCCCTATCCTCAACTACTAACGCAGTAACTCAACCCCCTCCGCCGGTATTCCAATCTGATATGAGGAAACTAGTTGTGGTTCCGCCAAAAAAGTCAATCTTTGTTTCTAGATTTTCGAGAGACAACTGTCGACTTAAGCATCAGAAAATTAAATTTTAATTACGAAAGAAATATTGCTTCATTTAAAATTTACGTAAATTTAGATAATTTTAATGCGCTGCTTAGTAGTTCTTTTTGGCCCTCCGGAGCTTTCGTTCGTGAATCCGAATATAGGCCCAAAAAAGTAAATAACTTAGCTAATATTCCCCGTCATAATACTGAATCAAAAAACTAATTATTAAATCTGCTCTAAGTATTTATTACCTAAACGTAAGAGGCTTAAATACTAAATTAACGAACTTATACTTTAAAGGCCTTGAATGTAATTATAATATTCTTTCTTTTACTAAAGCTTGGCTGAAACCTCACATTTTCAATTCAGAGATTCTTCCAAATAATTATCATATCTATAGACAAGATAGGAAGGACAGAATCGGCGGTGGCGCACAGTGTGCTTTTTGACCACTCTTAGCGAATCTATCGTAGCGCTTCCGGTAGAAGCAACATTTTGATATGAATCAAATTTTGTTGAAAAGTTTATGAATTTCTCTTTCAACGAAAAATATTGCCATGGTCCCA